GGAACTGTCTCTGTGTCTCACTAAGGGGAACTGTCTCTGTGTCTCACTAAGGGGAACTGTCTCTGTGTCTCACTAAGGGGAACTGTCTCTGTGTCTCACTAAGGGGAACTGTCTCTCTCTGTCTCACTAAGGGGAACTGTCTCTCTGTGTCTCACTAAGGGGAACTGTTTCTCCTCTCCTGGTACATAAGTGATACTCTCTATCTCAACACTGTCTCTCTGTCTCTCACACATAACTACCTCTGTCTAGGAGGCTGTAGGAACTGTCTCTATGTCACACGTGTTAAAGACATGTTCTCTGTGCCACCACCACCTCCCCTGTTCACCTGTTCTCTTATCGCCTTGATAGAAATACGGCATTGTTTTTACGAGTACTTGATATTTCTATAGTCTTCCTTCCTTCTTTCTTTCCTTCCTTCCTTCCTTCTTTCCTTCCTTCCTTCCTTCTTTCCTTCCTTCCTTCTTTCCTTCCTTCCTTCTTTCCTTCCTTCCTTCCTTCCTTCCTTCCTTCCTTCCTTCCTTCCTTCCTTCCTTCCTTCCTTCCTTCCTTCCTTCCTTCCTTCCTTCTTCCTTCCCTCCCTCCCTCCCCCTCACCCCACTGTACTCCACTTCGCTACCAGGAAACTAAGGAAAACACTCGGGAAATTAAGTGTTTTTGGCTCAGGATGGGAATAAACCTCGATAATATATATATATATTTTTTTTTCTTCAGAATTGTAGAAAAACGGAAGAGTTACCGAAGGATTATCAACGTCTTTATGCTACCTGGTGACGGGGTTAGGTTAGGGTGAGGTTAGGTTAGGTTAGGGTGAGGTTAGGTTAGGTTAGGGTAGAGTAAGGTTAAGGTGAGGTTAGGGCAAGGTAAGATATGGTAGGATAGGATAGGGTGGGTTAGGTTAGGTTAGTGTAAGGTAAGTTAGGTTAGGGTTAGTTAGGTCAGAATAGAATCACACATTCACTTACTTATGATAGTCCATCGAAGTGGATGACGACGTTGGTCCAGATGATTGATGAGTTATGTGATGCCACCGTAGATGACCATGGCGGCCAGTCCTGGAGGCTCACATCTTGTTGTGTAGGTGACGGGGATGTTGTTCACTGAGAGGAATTATGCCTTGAGCCTCTGATGTGGTTGGGCTCGTTTAGTAGCTCTCTTTTGGTTCAGTGAGGTCTCAGTGTTTCCGCTCCTCTATGGCATGTTGAGCGCCATAAGGAACGGTCTGAGGCGAGTTGCTCCAGTATATTACAGCACTTGAGAAGAGTTTTAGAGTGGTCCTTGTGTCTCTTGTTCTGTCCTCCCGCCGAGCGGTTTCCATGTGAGAGCTTTGCCATATAATATTTGTCCTGGAAGCCGGTGGTCTGGCCCCTGATAACAGGTCCAAGCCAGCTCAAGTGTCTTGGCTAGCATGGTCTTGTGTGAGCGACGATATAGTTCTTCACGAGTCACTCTGTCTTCCCAGGATATTCCAAAGATACCCTTAAGGGATCTAGTGTGGAAGTTTTCCACCATTTGGATATGGCGTCTGTAGGGCGTCCAGGTTTCTGAGGCATATACTAATGTAGATATACAGACCGCGAGATAAACTACAGTCTTCGTTCCATATTTGAGGTCATTGTTGAGAAAAACTCTTGTTCTCAAACGTCCAAATGAAGCTGAGGCTAAATTGACTCTCGTTTGAGTTTCCATAACCAGTGAGCAGGTGGGTGTGAGAGTGCTACCAAGGTACTTACACTGGGTTACTATTGTGATAGGATCTCCATCTGACGGAGATGATTGATGAGTTATGTGATGCCACTGTAGATGACCATGGCGGCCAGTCCTGGGATGTTCACTGAGACTATGCCTTGAGCCTCTGATGGTTGGGCTCTGTTTAGCAGCTCTTGCTCAGTGAGGTCTCTCAGTGTTTCCGCCTTCTATGTGGCATGTTGAGCTATATGAAATGAACTGGAGGCGAGCGTTCCAGCATATTGTTAACTTGAGGCAGTTGAGTTTTAGGAGTGGTCCTTGTGTCTCTTTCTGTCCTCCTGCCGAGCGGTGGCTCTATGTGAGTTTTCTGCCATAATATCATCCCTGGTTCTATTCTGATATTTAGTCCAAGTTTCAGCCTCATAGTTCTGGCTAGCTTGGTCTCAGTAGAGTTGAATGATATGTTCTCACGAGCTGCTCTGTCTCTCCCAGGATATTCCAAAGATACCTTATGGGATCTAGTGTGGAAGTTTTTTCCACCATTTGGATGGCGGCGTCTGTAGGGCGTCCTGTGGGGTTTCTGAGGCATAT